AGCCTAAAACATGATGTTGAATCAAAAAGTAGGATTTTATACTGAGAAGGAACATAATCATACTTCTTCTGATTTAGAGTAAGAAGGTGGGTGGGGATTGGGGGAAAGGAATTAAAGAAAATACACCAGAATGGGAACTCAGGGTGGGAGAATGTTCTTATGCTGCACTGTATTTTCAAAATTTCTATTTACCAAAGTAAAATTTAAAAATACATTAAAAAATAAGTATTTATATATGTAGTTTAAAGATTTTATTGATTTGAGAGAGTGAGAAAGAAAGCGAGAGCGCACCAGTGCTGGGGAGGCAGAGGGACAAGCAAACTCCCCGCTGAGCAGGGAGCTGATTCAGGGTCCACTCCCAGGACCCTGGGATCATGACCTGAGCATAAGGCAGACGCTTAACCAACAGAGACACCCCGGCGCCCCAGTAAATGTATTTTTTAAAGATTTATTTATTTATTCATTCATGAGAGACACACAGACAGAAAGGCAAGGACACAGGCAGAGGGAGAAGCAGGCACCATGCAGAGAGCCCGACGAGGGACTCATCCAGGGTCTCCAGGATCACGTCCTGGGCCGAAGGTGGCGCTAAACCGCTGAACAACCTGGGCTGCCCCTAAATGTGTTTTTTTTTAATTCAGAAAAAGCACCATCTAAATCTGGATTTTGAGGGTATAACAGAAAAAAATTAGCATCTGCAAATTTAATTAAAAGAACTTCAAACATCTATCATACAACAATGTTGGTACAAACTTAAGTGATTGACTACAAAGGCCACGTTAACACCCACAACTGTGTGCAAACAGGGCCTGCTTATTTTATAAAGTACAAGATATCCAGCAAAGGGAAGGGGAAAAAAAAAAACAACCCCAAGACTCCCTAGGAAGGCAGAAAAACCATTGTGCTTGAGATTCAGAGGCAGGAAATGAGCAAGTTGCACATTTTCCCCACACATTAATATTGAAGCGCCGAAACGTGCTTAAAACGCTTAAGGCTCAACTTTTGAGGTGGCTTTGCTCTGGAGAGTCTGATTCTAAAGATTTTAAAAATCCAGGAAAGGTAGCAAGATCTAATAAAATAATGCGTGTCTAGACTTACCCCACTATATAGGGAAGAAGGAAACTAATATTCAGTAGCTAATTAACTGTTCCTCTCGTAAGCTTTTCTTCCTCATTCCTCCCAACACACACAAAAATCCCGTTATTGCCTATACAGAGAAATCTTATCCTAGTTCCCTACAATTAGAATTCAAATTTTATATTTCTATTTATTTTTTAAAAACTTTTTAATTTTTATTTACTTATTTTTAAAGATTTTATTTATTTATTCATGAAAGACACACACACAGAGAGAGGCAGAGACACACGCAGAGGGAGAAGCAGGGAGCCTGACGTTGGACTCAATCCCGGGACTCCAGGATCATGCCCTAGGCCGAAGGCAGGCACCAAACCACTGAGCTACCCAGGGATCCCGCCCCCTTTTTTTTTAAGATAAAGAACTTTTTTAGAGAGAGGATTTTAAGCAGGCTCCACCCTCAGTGTGGAGCCCCACGTGGGGCTCAAGTCTCACAACCCTGAGATCCTAACCTAAGTCAGAAAATCAAGAGGCAGACACTTAACCCACTGAGCCACCCAGGAGCTCCTACGATTCACATTTTAATCCTCACTTAGTACAAGTAATCAATGCTAGGTTTTCTTTCTATTATTGTTTTTTTTTAAGATTTTATTTATTTATTCATGACAGACACAGAGAGAGAGAGAGAGAGGCAGAAACAGGCAGAGGGAGAAGCAGGCTCCATGCAAGGAGCCCAACGTGGGACTCGATCCTGGGTCTCCAGGATCACACCCCGGGCTGAAGGCGGCGCTAAACCGCTGGGCCACCGGGGCTGCCCTCTTTCTATTATTCTAAGAGAAGATCATTTTTTATGATATTGATTTCTAAAAACCAAAAGGAAGAACAATCACAAATCCTACCAGGCACTTTAGATGTAGCATCAAACGTTTTCACCTCGGCAGCTATTGTTAGGAGTTGGTTGGACAGTGAGGCAGTCAGGGCCAGCGCCCCCAGGAGGCAAATAGGGAGTCAGGGCAGCTAAAACGTAAGAGCGCTGACAACCTGTTCTGCGGCTTAGACAAGATTGCACTAGCATTCCATTTTTTGCAGCCTTTGCAGAAATGACTTCTGCAAAACGTCCTAAAATAAGACAATGAACCACAAAGCATTTGTCAATTTCATGGGAAAGGGGCAGTTAAGACAGAAGTCCTAAGATGTCAGGAAATAAAACCCCAAAACCATCAGCACAAGAGACATTAACCACAGGTGGACACATACGTGACCAAAGCCCTGATTGCTTAACGGAGTTCCACCAAAGAGCTCATGACAATCCCTGAACTTAGAAGCTCTGAGGGTAACCCGTGAGGGGGGGGGGATCCCCCCTTCCTCTCTGGGAGCTCTGTACTCTTGTTCAATAAATTTTGCTTTGCTGCCCCACTCCATCCTGTCTACCAACCTCTCCACTCTTCGAAGCAGCCTGACCCAGAAGCGCGGGAGCTAAGGGGACAAAAATCCACTACGTGAACAGAGTGAAATGCGTGTGAGCAGAATGGCACAAGAGGGCACAGGGAGTAAACAGAAGAAACAAGAAGGAAGTCCTAAGTTCGGCAAAGCACACTTGGGCAGGTGAGGGGACAATGGATGGAAAAGCCAAACACCCTGGCTGAGGCACCAGGCTGGCTCAGGTCAGCGGGCAGGTGACTCTTGATCTTGCAGCTGTGGATTCGAGCCCCACAGTGGGTGTAGAGATGACTTTAAAACAACATCCTGGGATGCCTGGGTGGCTCAGCAGTTGACCATCTGCCTTCGGCTCAGGGTGTGACCCTGGTGTACCGGGATCGAATCCCACGTCGGGCTCCCTGCATGGAGCCTGCCTCTCCCTCTGCCTGTGTCTCTGCCTCTCTCTCTGGTCTCTCATGAATAAATAAATAAAATCTTGGAAAAAAAAGGGGGGGGGGAATAAAAACAAAACCGTTGGGAGTCCTGGGGGGGCTCAGTGGTTGAGCATCTGCCTTCCGCTCAGGTCGTGATCCTGGAGTCCTGGGATCAAGTCCCACATTGGGCTCCCCGCAGGGAGCCTACTTCTCCCTCTGCCTGTGTCTCTGCCTCTCTCTCATGAATAAATAAATAAAATCTTTAAAATAAATAAATAAATAAATAATAAATAAATAAAATAAAAAATAACCAAAATCCTTAAAAAATAAAACTAAGAATAAAATAATAAATCCAATAAATAAACAAACAAATAAATAAAAGTAAAATCCTTGCTGCTTCATCATCATTATCACGTCCATAAATTGTTATGGCTATCTATTGCCCAATTATCAAAAGAACTGAGAACTGATTAAAACCGTAGGACAGTAAAAAAGAATTCAGATGAGAGGCCAAAGTTCACCACCACTCCAACCTTACCAGCACTAGTCTCTCTTTAGTTTAGGGGATTTTTTTTAAGGCTCTCGAAACCTTAAGTAAACAAATCCACAGCCAGTGAAAACTGACACACCCAGAAACTCTCTGCGAAACATTTACTTCACCATTCACAATAGACGGTCCTATTCCATCTACAGGTGGCCTTGCCTGGAGCTAAAGGTCGAAAGAAAACACTCCCTAACACCTTCAGGCTTTACCGGGGAGGAAATGGAGGAGGGAAGAAAAAAAAAAAAAACACCCCAGGCAGGCCTCAGGCAAGGTCAGGAACCAGGCCCCACCCTCTAAGACCCTCTAAGCAGCCTATACACACCACACCTGATTTTCCAAAGACTGTTTTTGTTTTGGCTCCTTAACAAGAAAATCTCATCTGCAGTTCTAGATTTCTTAAAATCAGACATACAGAATGCCAAAGCTAACGGAAGCTTCCAGATAAGCAGCGTCTTTAACCCTGACCTGACCAGCAGGGCCCCCCCCACTTGGCCCTCTTTGCTCCACTCCCACTGGCCAGAACAAACCTCCCCTGGAAGCTGCGGCCAGGATTCCCCACCAACCTCCGAGGCAGTCTGTGCAAAGAAACTTCTGATGGTAGTTCCTGAGGACGCTTCCAACTGCTTGCTAACAAGGTTCCTGAGAAATAAAGTCTCATTCCAGACATCTCTAAAGACGCGTGAGGTATCCACATGTGCTATTTCCGTGCTAAATAGCTAATTTCCAAGCTCTTTTTGGAGGGAGGGGCTCGCTAAACTTTCTGCAAATCACATCTACACATACTGGTAGAAATAACAGCACGGTCTATGCAAAAAAGGGAACTGCTCTAATCTCTGTCTGCTGTAAGTATCCACGCAGAATTAGTCACTGTGACTTGTCAGGCTGTCGTCCGTGTAAAAACTTGAGACGTATGCCACCTGCTACCACTCCAGAAACACCCCTCTTAACTCAAGACAGCGAGCACCCTGAGCAAGTGTTCTCCTCTAAAATGATAACCAGGGAAATAAAAGGGGAAGGGGAGGAGTTGTTTCGTTTTGCCAAGACCACGTTCTTTCCGTGTGATTCCTTTAGAAGCCAGTTCTTTTCAGTGCGGAGGCATACTTCCTAAAAATAGAGATTTCCGGGACACCTGGGTGGGTTAGTTGGCTAAGCATCCTGACTCGATTTGACTGACCTCATAATCTCAAGGTCATGAGATGGAGCACCTTGAGGGGCTCAGTGTGGAGACTGCTTGAGACTCTCCCCTTCTACTCCAACCGCTGCTTTCGCATACACTACCCTCCCCCTAAAATAAATAAAATCTAAAAAAAAAAAAATCTGATTTCACCTTGCAGTAAAACAATTTCCACTTATCATCCCACCTCAAGTTCTGAGTAAAACATGAGATCAATTTTTTCAATGTATACAAACAATAATTCCAAGAACATAGTTTCACAAAGCAATAGAAGTCAGGTTTAGAGGGAGAAACGTGGGGGAGGGGGCTTAAAAAAAGATGGGACATTTGCTCTTTTTTTTTTTTTAACACTTACCCACTCTTCAACATTGGGGGGTTGTTCATCATAAATATGTTCCTTGTCCCACAATATATTCGACTTGTCATACCGGTCCATCTTTCTTCGAGTTTTCACAGCAAAGAAAATTATTAAAGCAAAAGCCACAATCACCATGAACCCCAGGACAATGGCAATTGCCTAAAAAGAGATTAAGGATATTGACACAGTTAGTTAGATTCTAATTGTTTACTTTATCCTAATCCACCCTCAATAAAAACCTATCTGCAGTTCAAGCGATATACAACTGATAGAGTTACATTTTAGAAATATAAAAGGTAGCCCACAACAGTTGGGCTGAGGCTAGCAACACATACACAACTTGACTCAATACTCAGAACAGGCTTACAGTTAGGTACTATCTTCATTAAATTTTATTTTTTAAGATTTTGGGCAGCCTGGGTGGCTTAGCGGTTTAGCGCTGCCTTCAGCCCAGAGCGTGATCCTAGAGTCCTGGGATCGAGTCCCACATCGGGCTCCCTGCACGGAGCCTGCTTCTCTCTGCCTGTGTCTCTGCCTCTCTCTCTGTCTCTCATGAATAAATAAATAAAATCTTTAAAAAATATATATTTTTATATTTAAAATACAAATAATTTTATATAAAAATATTTTTTAAAGATTTTACTTATTTGACAGAGAGAAAGAGAGAGAGAGAGCACAAGCAGCAGGAGTAGCAGAAGGAGAGGGAGAAGCAGGCTCCACGCTGAGGAGGGAGCCTTAGTGGGGCTCGATCCCAGGAGCCCAGGATCATGACCTGAGTCAAAGGCAGACGCTGAACAGGACTGAGCAACCCCCGCTGCCCTAATCCATCTTAAGTTATAGAAATCTAGTTTCAACGCTGGAGCACCAAGTGGCCTTATGTTCATAAACAGATGAAAATGGCCAGTAAATTAACTCAATCATCGGTATCCTTCTAAAGGGCTTGGAAAATGTTATTCTCAGAAGTAGCTTTAAGTACATGACCACGTTTATGGGGTGCCAGTTGACAGAGGATGTGCCTTACCATAAATTATGCAGACATGATCTAACCACACTATGAACGAGAGAAAATAGATGAATGATTCATTTGGTCTGGCAGGTGGTTTCTGTTGTAGGAGGCTTCTGTGTGCATACAAGGAAGGGCCCTGTGACAAGTAAACCCTCCTCCTGACAGTTCTCCCAAGGTCTGCTAAGTATGTGAAGTGGTCCACTGGCCTAGAGACACTTGAAATTGAGCCCGACACCAGGATCCCGGCCTAGATTCTGCTAACAGCACCAGGTGGGTCTCTGTGCAGCTGTCTACGAGTGGTACCCTTTTTCAGCGAACACAGGTTTGGGGGCATTCAGAGGACTAAGAGAGAAGGGGGTGTGGTGACACAGGAGTACCAACCCTCAGCCCTATCCACCAGAGATAAGATTTGAATGTCAACACAGACATTCTGAAAAGCCTACATATGGAGGGAAAACATTTCAGCCTTCAAAATAAATGATAATTACTGGAGATGATCTAAACCCCCCCCCTAAAAAATGACTCATTCAGGTAAAAGAGTAAGAATTCCTGAGTCAGTAGAAGGAGAGGGGGAAGAAAAAAAAACAGGAGGAAAAAAGACTAGAAATCCATCAGGAAAATATTAGCAACTTAACTAACTAATCAGCATGGAGAGAACCAAACAGACAAAAAGAATGTTGGTGAGGATGTGTAGAAACAGGAATCCTCACCCATTTCTGGTAAATGTAAAACAGACCAATCAGTTTGGAAAACGGTTTGGCAGTTCCTCAAGAGCTTAAACACAGAGACACCATAAGACCCAGCAATTCTACCCTAGGAATATCCTCAAGAGAAATTAAAATATGGGTTTGCACAAGAGCTTGTATACAAATGTTCGGAGCATTATTCATAATAGTTAATATGGACGTAGCCTGAACGTCCATCAACTGATGAAAGGATAAATAAACTATGGCAGCCATAATGGCATAGTATTCAGCTATAAAAAGGAATTGATACAACGTGCCAAAACATTCATGACCCCTGAAAACACAAGTGTGAAATGAAAGAAACCAATCATGGAGGTAGCCTGGATGGCTTGGTCACGGGGAAGTGTGACTCTTGATCTTGGGGTTGTGAGCTCAAAGCCCTCGATGAGTGCAGAGGTTAAATAAAACTTAAAAAAAAAAAGAGGGGCGCCTGGGTGGCTCAGCGGTTGAGCATCTGCCTTCAGGTTAGCTCGTGATCCCAGGATAACAGGATCGAGTCCCGCATCAGGTCCCTGCATGGAGCCTGCTTCTCCCTCTGCCTCTGTCTCTGCCTCTCTGTGTGTGACTCTCATGAAGAAATAAATAAAAATCTTTAAAAAAAAAAAAAAGGAAGAAGCCAATCATAAAAGACCACATCCTGTGTGATTCTGTACATATGAAATATCCAGGGGATCCCTGGGTGGCTCAGCGGTTTGGCGCCTGCCTTTGGCCCAGGGCGCGATCCTGGAGTCCCGGGATCGAGTCCCACGTCGGGCTCCCGGCATGGAGCCTGCTTCTCCCTCCTCCTGTGTCTCTGCCTCTCTCTATCTCTCTCTCTATGTCTATCATAAATAAATAAATCTTAAAAAAAATCCTTTAAAAAAAAAAAGAAATATCCAGAATCAGCCAATCTAGAATAAGATTAGTGGTTGCCTAGATCTGGGAAGAGTTAGAGAAAAATGAGAAGTTACTGCTAACAAGTATGAGGTTTCTTTTGAGGATAGTGAAAATGTTCTAAAGCCGACTGTGGGTGATGGCTGCACAACTCTGAACATACTAAAATTTCTGAACCAAATTTCAAGTGGATGAGTTATAGGACATGTTAATACTACCTTCATAATGACACCCAGCCCCTCTCCAGATTCTGATTTAAATACAAGTGAGGTCTTATAATCACTCCTTTTTAAAAAATTCCCAAAGGGATTCTGTTAAGCATCCCGAGAACCTGTACCCAAAGCAGGAGCAGGGAACCAAAGACACCCATACCTCTTGGGGATCCACCACACAATAGTGATACAAATACTGATCCATGTAGAGTCCGGTAGCTGTAGATGCATAGAACTGGTTGCACATGGCATATATCTGTGAACTGTATAAAGACCCAGAAGCCTGGGCAGTTGGATTGACTCCCATTATATAGACAATTGTAGCAATGAACATCATGACGCCCAGGAAGGCACTCAGTATTATTACAGTCAAGTAGTACCTTCTGGTTCTGGATATGTCAGACCTTATAACGCTGGTAACAAATATCACCAATGCAGCGATAAAACAAAAGGCCACCATGGCCAGGAGGAAGCTCTTTGCTGCTCTGGGATCCGTGTAGCCGCCGTAGCCGTAGCCGTAGCCATACCCGTAGCCGTAGCCAGTCCCGTAGCTCCCGAAGCCACTTCCATAAGGGTAGCCTATGCTACCACCCATTAAGCCAGTTCCATAGCCTCTATCCCAGGCAAGCGTGGACGCGACACAGGCAAATATGGCGATGCACATCACAATGACAAGCATGGACAGAATCCGAATTACTCCTGGAGGAGAGGTCCATTTGTAGAAGTGAAGAATTTCATCTTCTGGGTAGAAAGAATACGCCGGCTGAGAGAGCATGGGTCGGACGTGCATGTCCCCACCGTACACATCATTACTCGGTGCATAATGATTGGGTTTGCTGAAATGCACATGAAAACACTTTCCTGTCAGTACTGTTTTGAGGTAAGCAGAAAACACATATAACACAGGCAGAATAATTTAAACCATCCACTGGCACACACACACATAAAAACAAACCAAAAACCCAACAACTGTTAAGACCACCCCGCTGCAATGGGACACTTTATGTCCCCCCATATTCAGATGTCGACCCCCTAAGCCACAATGTGATGGTGTCAGGAAGCAGGGCCTGATGAGGTTATGAGCTGCAGCCCCCACGAATGGGAACAGTGCCTTCCCAAAGGAGACCCCAGAGAGCTGTCCTGGCCCTTCCACCATGTGAGGGTACAACCCCAAGTTGGCAGTCTGCAACCCAGAAGAGAGCCTGCGCTAGAACCTACCACGCAGGCATCTGTTCTTGGACTTCCAGCCTCAAGTGTAAGAAATAAACTCATGTTTATCCGCTACCAGTCTGCAGTCCTCTGTTATGGCTCCCTGAAGCTACGGAGACACTCACTCAACAGGAAAGGTTTCTATTGTGTCAGAATCACCAGGAGGACTTGCTAAAACACAGATTGTGGGTCCCTTACCCCAAGTCGCTGATTCTGCAGGTCTGGAGTAGGACAAGTTTCCAGAGGCTGCTGCTGCTGCTGAGAGTCTGAGAGACCAGACATGGACAAGGACCACTCTAATGTCTATGGAGTAAAGGTTCTAGAATTTTCTGCAAATTCGAATCACCTGAGAAATGTGTAAAATCCCCAGGGGGAGCACTCCACACCAGTTAAATTGTAATCCTTGGGAAGGGGATCCAAGCAGTTTAGAACAATGATGTCAACCCTTCTGCTTGTGTGACTTGAGACCGGTGCCTTCAGATACGACAACTGTAGTGGCCCGCCCAGGGTCATGTCCAATTCCTGGCAGCCTCAGTCTCCTACCCGAGAAAGCACATTCGTTCATTCATCCACATGACAGCTATTGGTTGGAACCACCAGGCTAATGTGTGTACTAAGCACCGAGGACACAACAATCAACAGGAGGGTCTCACCCAGGCCCCTCACAGGTGCGAGGCAATAAGACATTAAACAAGTCACTACGAGATCTCTAGTGAGTTAAGAGCTACAAAGTAAATCAAATATTCAATGAGGGCTCATCAGGGCAATGCCTAACTGGATTTTTATAAAAAAAAATACCTTTCCAACTCTGGTGATTTAACCATAAACATCACATTGATGTGTGACACACTGAATCTAAGAAATGTGGGTCCTGGTGGAACAAAATTCAATTCCTAACCTCACCTCACCCCCTTTGGTTTTTGCATTATTTCCTGGGGCCACTTCTCTCTCTTTCAAAAGCAAGACATCTTACTACCGGGGCTGCCAACCACAGAATTCAAGGAAATGGAGAAACTGGCAGGAACACTGATAAGCTGGTCTTTGAAGATGGCACGTATGAAAATCCGATAACGCATTCTACTTGGATATTTGGGATGTCTCCATCTGGAGCTGTCACGAACAACGCAGCTCTGAAAATCCTTGAATGTGTGTCCTCATACACACAGCACTTATTTTCCTAAGCTATGTATACAGGAGAATTTTTGAGTCAATTTCTTTTTTTTTTTTTTTTACCTTGAGCTCAATGAGACAATATGGAAATGTTCTCCACAACAGTTATATCATTTCTAAAAAATGATTATATCATTTAGGATCTCAGTAACAGGGACGCCTGGGTGGCTCAGCAGTTGAGCATCTGCCTTTGGCTCAGGTTGTGATCCTGGAGTCCTGGGATTGAGTCCTGCATCGGGCTCCCCACAGGGAGCCCGCTTCTCCCTCTGCCTGTGTCTCTGTGTCTCTCATGAATAAATAAATAAAATCTTAAAAAAAAAAAAACCAACTATTAAAAAAAGGAATGCAAACTATCTCAGTGTTCATATCACACATTGAAATGATATTCTGTATATATCACGTTAAATTTTAAATATTACAATTACATATTATATAAATAGTAAAACTATTATTAGAATGTGTTTTTAATATAGTTAGAACAAAACTATACATATGGTTCATGTTTTCTTATTTCTCAATTTTTATGTACTTATTTGAGAAAGAAAGACAGTGAGTGCACGAGCAGGGAGCCCGACATGGGGCTCCATCCTAGGACCCGGGGATCATAACCTGAGCCAAAGGCAGATGTTTCACTGACTGAGACACCAGGTGCCCCTCACATTTTATTTCTGTAGCACTCCTCTGAGGCAAAAAAAAAATGTTTAATAACAAGTAAAACTGAAATGTACTGTTTAGTATATATAAAACAGTTAAAAAAAGAGAGAAAAGTGCTGGCCATTCGTCACAACGGTGGTTTCCAGGGAAAGGAGGGAACACACGGAAGGACTTGGAGATGTCCTATTTCTCAACTGATGATTTTGCTTTGTCTTTATTCATCATTTCATACACACATTCTGTGCTCTTTTTGATGTGTGTGTTGTATTTCACCGGTGTTTACAAAAACAACACAAAAGGAGTCTGGGGTTCACAGAGCACTGCCCGATTACTATGTTCTCTAGCATGACTTCGAGACCACACCGTCACAAACTGGGTCCCTACCATGCTCAGGTGTTAGGAGGCAGCGTAACAGACTCCCACGACAGCCATCAAAGAGTGGAGGCTACACACTACTTGAATGAAAAAAATCCCCATCAACGTGTGATAACCCATTTCAAATTTTTCACTGTTAAATTTCCAAATGACTAGGGACACCAAGAACCCTCAGGGTTCCTTCTTGCTTTGTATAACGGCAGGAATCACTCTTAAAACTGACAATGTGGAAAATATTAGGCCAAGTAAAAGAATCAGCCCCAGAGGACCACATATTGCATGATCACATTCAGAGGAAATGTCCAAAACAGACAAATCTAGACACAGAAAGTAGATCGGTGATGGCCCAGTACTTGGGGCAGGGTTGGGGTGGTGATGGTGGCCAATGGGACAAGGAGTGAGTGCTAGTCCACAGGGGTTCCTTTGGGAAGGGGGTGATGAAAATGTTCTAAAATTGACCTGGTAATGGTCGTATAACTCTGCGTATACACTAACACCACTGAGCTGTCTGCTCCAAATGGGTGAATTGGGTGGTGTGTGAACTGGATGTCAATAAAAGTACAATGAGTGAATTTCAGGATCAGTCCCCTAAACAAAGCATTAATACAGAAGCTTCATATCGTTTGTGACAAAAACAAAAAAAAAGGAATAAATATACACACGAGTTTAAGCCTAAGCTATACAGAAGCAAACAACTGCAACCGGCGACAAGAGTCGCCTCTGCAGACAAACAGTGGCATCCTGGCATTAAGCTTCAGAGGGAAACGCACTTCCACTTCATGCCCTTTGCTTCAATCTAAATTTACAAACACACGTTATTAATATAGCATTTTTTTTAAAGATTTTATTTATTCATGAGAGACAGAGAGAGAGAGGCAGAGACACAGGCAGAGGGAGAAGCAGGCTCCCTGTGGGGAGCCCGATGCAGGACTCGATCCCAGGACCCCGGGATCACGCCCTGAGCTGAAGGCAGATGCTCAATCACTGAGCCACCCAGGTGTCCCAATACAGCAAACACTTAACAGATGAATGTTTCAACTATACATATTTTTTTTACATATGACAGACTTCATAACAACAACAACAAAAACTAAAGAATTACTTACAATTCATCAGGTCTATATGGAGGTGGACTCTCAAAAGGCCTCGATGACATGGCTGATGTCAATAATCACCCGATCTTCAGGACGAGCAGGATCCCAGAGCTCCCCAAAATAAGCCAACCTAAGCAATGGAAGTAGGGGAACAGCATTATTACTGAGCTCAGTTTCCCTGCCGATCCATATCTCAACTAACTTCTCCTGATTATTCCTCTTGTTCTTCTCACTGCCATCCTTGCAAATGGGACCATCAATTCCTTGAGTACGGGAAATCACTGAACATAGGAACCATCCGGCCTGGTGGTCCTCACAGCACCAAGCACCATGCTTCGCACGCCACTGGCATACAAATACTGACTTTAATTACTAAGTTGTATTAATAAAAATTTCATTAGGTTTTTACAGCATACATTTTAAAAAATGGTATTTTTCCAAACTATTCCTTCAAAGGACAAGAAATATAAAAGATATTTCTTAAAATATATTGTTTTTTTTTTTAACTTTTGGCAACACCATGTATTTACCTTTCTTGTTGTTTTGAGGGCGAGCACATGTGCAAATAGGGGGAGAAGCAGAGGGAGAAAGAATTTCAAGCATACTCCCTACAGAGCCTGACATCATGACTGAGATTATGACCGGAGCCGAAATCAAGAGTCAGGTGCTTAACCAACCCAGTGAACCACCCAGGCATCCCCATCAACAAATACTTATTAAGCGCCTACACTATACCATGGGGACCAGCAGAAGTACTTTGAAAGGTCACACACAAAGAAGAAAGAACTATAACAGGCAGTTATTCAGTTATTAGGGCTGACTATGTGATCAAGTACAGAACAGAGATAAGCAGAGGAGAAGGACCAAGACTTAAAGCAATAGAGAAGGAAGCTGAGGGTGGAGGGCAAGGAGGGTCACTTGAGCAAGACCTACAGTCTGAGCATATTAAACAGTAGGATATTTTTTCCTTCTCAAATAAGGTACATGCAAATAAGGTATTCTGTTAGGAAAAGTAAGGAAATTCAAACTCTCTAAATTGTGTTCTTTAGAATCGATGGCAACTATCCTTCACATCCGTAAGGACAGTCAATTCCAAATTTCTCAGGATACAATACTGCCCAAATGTAATTAGGTAAAACTTCAAGGATGGGAATCTGTGAATGTTAGGGACACCAAGATCTGGGTGTAACTAGCACCCAGATGCACACACAAATGGGCAACTCTGGCCATTAGCACATTACAGTGTTCAGCAAAAGTCCAGACAGGCTTCCAATACGATGTTCAGAAAAAGAACATTAGGGATCCCTGGGTGGCGCAGCGGTTTGGCGCCTGCCTTTGGCCCAGGGCACAATCCTGGAGACCCGGGATCGAATCCCACGTCGGGCTCCCGGTGCATGGAGCCTGCTTCTTCCTCTGCCTGTGTCTCTGCCTCTCTCTCTCTCTCTCTGTGACTATCATAAATAAAAAAAAAAAAAAAAAAGAAAAAGAACATTAAAAAAAAAAACACTGAATTTAAACACTATTAGGGGCATTGGGGTGGCTCAGTTGGTTAAGCAACTGACTCTGGACTTCCACAGCTCAGGTTGTGATCTCAGGGTCAGGAGATCAGGTCCCTGGTCAGCCTCTGTCCTCGGCACAGGGTCCGCTTGAGACTCTCTCACTTTCCCTCTGCCCCCCCCTCGACTCAGGAGCACAGGGGTGCACGGACACTAATAAATCTTTAAAAACTGAATTTAATCATATTAAATGTACAACTTCAGTTCTGAAGCTGAATGTCAAATACTGACAAACTGACCTTAGAGGAATCTGAGTCCTGTAGCGAGGGCTCACTCATTCAAGACTATGCCAAAAATTCCAGGCTCCATGGTAGGTTTTGTGTTTTTTTTTTAAGATTTTATTTATTTTATTTTATTTATTTATTCATGAGACACACACACACTGAGAGGCAGAAACACAGGCAGAGGGAGAAGCAGGCTCCACGCAGGGAGCCCAACATGGGACTCGATCCCAGGACCCTGGGATCACACCCCAAGCTGAAGGCAGATGCTCAACCACCGAGTCACCCAGGTGCCCCCGTGATAGTTGTTTAAGTAATCTCTATGCCCAACGTGGAGCTCAAACTCACCACCCTGAGATCAAGAGTCACAGACTCAAAAAAAAAAAAAAAAAAAAAAAAAAAAAGGGTCACAGACTCTACTGACGGAGCCTGCCCGGCGCCCCTCCATGGTGGTTCTTGGAAATTCTAAACTAATCCAGACTAAGGATGAAGTTCAAATTTTGTCAAAAATTCAGACACCAAAATCCCTTTCCAAACTGCTATTTCCTGGATTCAGAGGTTAGTCATCATATCTCCTCTAACACTAGAGATTTTATATCGTGAAGCAAATAACTTTAGGAAGTTTATCAAGAACAGGTCACGCCATATCGGCTTCCTGTCCTTTTCCTAGATTAACAAACTGGTAGATGAAGCCTGAGAATCTTCCGTGCATCCCTGTGCACAGACGGCGTGGTCAGGCCGACGCCTCTGGGACTGAAGAGTGGAATTGAAATAGGGCAAGAGAACAGACCACTTATGTCCACCTAGAGGGAGGTCATTTTGGTGACCACAGACAAGGTGGGCTGGCATACCCAGATCTGCAGGTGACAAAACACCGGAAAGGATAACTAACCCACCGGCTGCAGGCACATCACATCCTCTGCAGGGCTGGAACGATGAGCTAAAATAAACCTAGTGGTTTTATTATTTTTTTAATATTTTATTTATTTATTCATGAGAGACACACAGAGAGAGACAGAGACACAGGCAGAGGGAGAAGCAGGCTCCCTGCAGAGACCCCAACGTGGGAGTAGATCCAGGGACTCCAGGATCACACCCCGGGGCCAAAGGCAGACGCTAAACCACTGAGCCACTCAGGCATCCCAACCTAGTGGTTTTAAAAGCTCACAATATGTGGGGACAAATTCTACTTCTCTTCCTTGAACCTCACTACTCTCCTATCCCCAAGCACAGGGGATAAGCCTGACCTCCAAGCTGGAATAATTAAAAAAGATGATATATTAAGGAAGATGAGCAAAAATATTCACAGCAAGGTGGTTATCTTCAAAGTGAGACATTTTTCAGTGTTTAGGCACTTAGGTACATTGTATCTGTTTTCAAATACTGGTGACACCAATAAATCCTTTTACAAACATAGACTCATTTTTTAAAAGTGCATTTTTTTTTTGTTTTTTTAAAAATTTATTTATTCTTATTTTTTATTTTTTTATTTATTTATGATAGTCACACACAGAGAGAGAGAGAGAGAGAGAGAGAGAGAAGCAGAGACATAGGCAGAGGGAGAAGCAGGCTCCATGCACCAGGAGCCCAACGTGGGATTCGATCCCGGGTCTCCAGGATCGCGCCCTGGGCCAAAGGCAGGCACCAAACCGCTGCGCCACCCAGGGATCCCTAAAAGTGCATTTCTTTGTAAGAATTCCAACAAAGTTAACAAGCTACCCCAAACTTTGGCAGTATTCACATACAGCGCTTCAATCTAGAAAAAACAAACCTTCTGCATCACCATGAGATCTGTACATCATGTTCCAACTAGGTACCTCTCCAGGGGGTGACTGACTGACCAAGAACCAGAAAAACCATGTGTTAAGACAAATGACTGAAAAAAACAGGAAATGTTTGGCCCGGACAAATCAACATTAGAAGGACCACTACAGCAGCCTTCAAGTATCTGCAGAGCTGTCTTTGTAGTCCTACAAACCTTTCTTTGAAGAAAAGATACTCGGGATCAGATTTCACGTCAATGTTAGGAAGCCTCTCCCTTACCCTGACTCCACACACCCTTCAAAAATAACAAGTAACAATTTGATCTCAGGCCATGTATGCAAACCTCAAGTTGTTTGATAGTCTGGAGAGACTGTGCTGCATGAAGGAACTCTGATGTCTCCTTCAAGGCAGTCTGGGACTGTGCTTTACAGTCACAGCCAAAGGTGAAAAAAAAAAAAAAAAGACCAAGAACAGACTTATCCAATCTCCAGTAGGACAATATTAACACTACTTGGTCAATAAATGTATGTTGAATGGAAGATAAAATGAAATGAATGAAAAGGATACAGGACCTGGCCTAAGGGGCTCAATGGCCATGGTCACAGAACCTGTACCATGTGAGTGACAGGGACATAAGTCAAAGAGCTGACTAAGAGGAGCTTTAGGGATACAGGAGGCTCTTAGTAAACATGTAAAGTAAATTAATGTTAAAATATTAAAAAAAAAAAAGTTCTCTGGAAAATGTTTACTGGCCAAAGCAGTCCTAGAAGAAATCTAAGACAAAAGCCTGAAAATGCTATGCCCCTGAATACTTATTTAAATCAACTAAAGAAAAGATGAAACTTTATCATATTTAAGGAGAGCCTATTTCTTTTCAATTACAAGCAGCAATAATTTGCCTTTGAGAAGTTTTTAGGGGCACCTGGGTGGCTCAGTGGTCAAGCATCTGCCTTCAGCTCAGGTCGTGATCCCGGGGTCCTGGGATGGAGTCCTGCATTGGGCTCCCCACAGGGAGCCTGCTTCTCCCTCTGCCTGTGTGTGTCTCTGCCTCTCTCTGTGTCTCATGAATAAATAAATAAAATCTTTAAAAAAAAAAGAAGTTTTTAAAGTTGTGCCTAGTATTAAATGATTCTATTTATATTTTGGCACCTAATTAGCAAACTAAAATTTTTAGATTAGGCAGCTTTTGCAATAGATAAGCTCTGTATGGGAAACTGCATTTTAAATAAACTCTCCAGATGATTTTTAAGCACACCATATATTTTCAGCATCGCTACCTGATTAAAGGCATCTATCCCAGAAGGGCCTTGATCTTGACATTCCCTATCTACAAATGGGCAGGCACCTGCTGTTTAGCTCTTTTCTTAAATACCCACTCCATCCACCAAACCCACTGTATTTTCAGAGCAAATTCCCTAATTATTATTATTTTTTCCTTCTCTCTTTTTTAAATTTTTTAAACGGCGACCATCTCCACCCCAACTGGAATAACAGCTTTACAAGCACCTAGATGTCGGGACGCCTGAGTGGCTCAGCAGTTGAACACCTGCCTTCGGTTCAGGGCGACACCCCAGGGTCCCGGGATCGAGTCCCACGTCGGGCTCCCTGCATGGAGCCTGCTTCTCCCTCTGCCTGTGTCTCTGCCTCTCTCTCTCTCTGTGTCTCTCATTAATAAATAAATATTTAAAAAAAAACAAAAACCAAGCATCTGGATGTCTATCTTGATCATTACTCTTCCACCTGGTCACTAAAATCCCTGGCACAAAGTGACGATCAACCAACATTTGATTTATAAAACGAAGAGCCCACACTCTCCAGATGGGATTTCTACACGGCTGTGAATGCCTTTAGGTTCTTCACAACGCTAGCGCTAGCTAAATACAATCCTGTACGGTCAACCAGATTAGTTAAGTGCTTAGAATCTCAAGGAGAGAAAAGAGTCAAACACACAACCATATGGACATCACTCGTTAAATTGTTGAAAAGCAGGATTCCAGGCCCCACATCTGACCCATGAATCAGAATCTGTGTTAATAAAACCCCCAGGTGATTCATACCATAGTCAAGATTAGGAAGCATGGGGTTAGCCTCCAGGCTAAAACAAAAGCTGTAACAAAACTCCACAAGTCTTTTTACCTCTGTATTCCCATAAATAATAACCTGGATGAAAAAAGCCTGCACGGGACTCTAATCAAGTAAGCCTTAAAATGCAATCGAAGAAAACTTCCCTTCTGGGCAGGTCAAAGATTTTCTATCAGTTAATTTGTGTGGTCAAGAGCAATCTCTTGTAATATTGAAAGGGCAATAATTCCAACATGATCTTTAAGAGAAAACAGGACGTTTACCGTCACCTCAAACGAGAGGTGGAAGTATTTTATGAGAGCGCAGGGACTAGTCAAAGGTAGAGTTCTAGAAAAGCCCCAAGTTGCTCTGGTGCAGAATTTCAAGGGCTGCTTCTTTCCTAGCAGAGCCTCCCTGAGGAGCTGAAGCAATTTTCAAGCCACACCATTTGTAGTATTTCCCCTGCCGGTGTTTTACCTGTAAACTGGAGTTCTAGTAAGATCTACCTTTCAGAATTGGATCATGAAAGGATACAGAGGACAAGCGTCTTTTAGGACTGGACCTGGCTCTGAGGAGGACTGCCCAGCACTCCCCTGCCAGCCTCCCCTCCATCATCTCACCAGGGCAGCACCTACTAAATCAATGCCAAGGCCCCCACGCAGGTGCTGCTTGGGGCAGACGCTCTTCCTGTGGTCGCGCCATTTGCAAGGTCTACCTTAAATCAACAGGAGAACAAAACACACGATTCATTCGTACCGTGCAAACGAAATAAAGGGGGGGGGCGGCTTGAGAAATCGACCTGTCCTTGAAAGGACTACTTTCAATCACAGCAACAATCGCCCCAAGTGCCTTAACGGGAAGGTTCCTCTTTTCCAGGGATCCCAATAATACACCTATTGTGCCTCAGGGCCACCGTGGCCCTGGAAGGCCGCCCCTTCCCCGCCCCGGCTCAGTGGCTGCTCCGCCAGGTGGGCGGCCCCCGGTGGGCGGCCCCCCGCGGACGCCGCGGCCTCTCGGGCGCGGGGGCTCGGGGCTCTGGAGGGCGCGGGGGGCCGGGAGCGCAGGCGACGGCGCGGCGGGGTCGCAGGGGTCGCGGCCCCGGGCAGGTGCATGACCAGCCGGGCCGCCCCGAGGCAGGTGCGCGGCGGGGCCGCAGGGGTAGCGGCCCCGGGCAGGTGCGCCGCGGGGCCGCGGGGGTCGCAGCCGCCGGCAGGTGCGAGCCCCGCCGGCGGGCTCTCGGCTCCGGGGCCCCGGCGCGAACAGCTTCCCTCGAAGCGCAGCCCCGCTCGGAGCCGAATCCCCGCCCCCCCAGGCTCAAACGGACGCGGGCTCGCGGCGCGGCCACACCGGACGCCGCCGGCCCGGCCCGGCTCCAGGGCCTCCCGGACGGAGCCCGGCGCCCCTCTCCCCCCGCGACGCCCCGCGGCTGGGTGCGGCGGGCTCGCTGGGGTCGCCCCGGCCGGCGAGCGCGCCCCTCGACTGCAGCCCCGCGCTCGGGACCCCGAGGAGGCGGGCGCGCCCTCTGCCCGCCGACCGCGCGGCCCGCCCGCCCCCCGCCCCAAGGGTGCCCGCGCCCCCCGCGCCCCGCCCCCGCCCCTCGAAGCCTCTCCGCCCCCCGCGCTGTCGGCGGGCCCGCTCCCCCCGACTCCCGCCAGTCCCAGCCCGGAGGCGAAACCGCCACCGAAACCCGCGCCGGGCGCCACCCCCCCCTCCGGGACCCGAGCCTCGAGCCCGCGCGGGGACCCCGGCCGCCCCGCGCCCCTGTCCCCGCCCCGCAGCTCACTTGGCGGCGCACCTGACGCCGAGCGCGGCCCGCACGCAGCCGGGAGCCAGCCGAGGAATGCGGCCAGCCCTTCAGCGCTCGCCGGCCCCCGCCCCCGCCCCCTCCCCCCTGCGCCTCCCCCTCCCTCCCCTCCCCCCCGCCCCCGGGCATGCGCGCCGGCGCCCCGCCCGACCTGGAGCCGCGCGGCCCCGCGTCCGCCTCACCTGTTGCGCCGCGCGGGCCCCTGCGCTCGGGCCGCACCCGGGAGCTCCGCCGCCTCCCGCAGGGACGGAGAAGGGGGCGGTGGCCGCCGGCGGGGGAGCGCGGGGCGCCGCCTCCTCCCTCGGTGACCCCTTCACCTGAAACTCGGGTGGGCGGGGGAAGGGAGCGGTGGGGGAGGAGGCGGGAGGACCCCGCCCTGCGCCGCACGCCCTCGCCCGGTGCAGTTAAAGGGACAGCGCAGCCTGGCGGCCCGGGCGCCCCGAGGTGGGGGTGGACCCCGAGGTGGGGGTGGCCCCCCGAGTGCCCCCGAGGTTGGGGTGCGCCCCCGAGGTGGGGGTGGCGCCCCGAGGTGGGGGTGGACCTCGAGATGGGAGTGCCTCCCCGAGCGCCCCCAAAGTGGGGGTGGACCCCCGAGTGCCCCCGAGGTTGGGGTGGACTCCGAGATGGGGGTGCCTCCCCGAGCGCCCCCAAAGTGGGGGTGGACCCCCGAGTGCCCCGAGGTTGGGGTGGACTCCGAGATGGGGGTGCCTCCCCGAGCGCCCCCAAAGTGGGGGTGGACCCCCGAGTGCCCCGAGGTTGGGGTGGACTCCGAGATGGGGGTGCCTCCCCGAGCGCCCCCAAAGTGGGGGTGGACCCCCGAGTGCCCTGAGGTTGGGGTGGACTCCGAGATGGGGGTGCCTCCCCGAGCGCCCCCAAAGTGGGGGTGGACCCCCGAGTGCCCCGAGGTTGGGGTGGACTCCGAGATGGGGGTGCCTCCCCGAGCGCCCCCAAAGTGGGGGTGGACCCCCGAGTGCCCCGAGGTTGGGGTGGACTCCGAGATGGGGGTGCCTCCCCGAGCGCCCCCAAAGTGGGGGTGGACCCCCGAGCGCCCCCGAGGTGGGGGTGCCCCCTCGAGCGCCCCCAAAGTAGGGGTGGCCCCCCAAGCGCCTGCGAGGTGGGGGTGGACTCCCCCAAGCGCTCCCGAGGTGGGGGTGACCCCCCAGCACCCCCGGCTGCGCGGCGGCGAAGGGGCGTTTGGCGACGGGCGGCCGACGGAGGGGACCGACCCTGCAGGGGTCCAAGGGTGCTCGGCTCTCCTGCGCCCTCCTGACGCGAAAGGCACGTCTGTGCCCAACACTTTTCTGCTCTGAAACTTTGGTTAAAATCTGCTTCTGCCTGTGTCTCTGCCTCTCTGTGTGTGTCTCAAATAAATAAATAGATAGATAGATAGATAGATAGATAGATAGATAGATAGATAGATAGATAGATAGATAGATAGATAAATCTAAAAAAAAAATTTGTTGGAAAGAAGCAGCCACAACTGGGAGATCTCAAAAGTCGCTCGTGAATTAAGGAACTGTTTCGGAATCCTAGAGCCAGACCAAACGGAGCAGCGCTCACAGTGGTTAATGAAGGGGAGGAGGAATACGTAGTGTCCTTGGTAAATTTGCCTTCAAAATAAAGTGCATTTTGGAGTTCACGTTATCACCAGCTCAAGGTTGCAAACTCTCCCCACCCCCACCCCCGCCAAGGGATTTAAACCATTTTAATATTCTCTTGGCTTTGGGGGTAAAAACACTCTCGTTCTGTGTGCTAGGTTTTATTTTTTAATTTGGAGGCTGGTTCCCTTGGAATGTCCACTTGAGAAAATTCATGGTCTAACAGGTAACGTGCATCTTTTTTTAAAGGTTTTATTTATTTGACCAAGAGGGCACAAGCAGGGGGAACAGCAGAGAGAGAGGGAGAAACAGACTTCCGGCTGGGCAGGGACCCCAGTGAGGGGCTTGATCCCTGGACCCCTAAGCCAAGGCAGAAGCCTAAGGACTGAACCACCCAGGCACCCCATGTATCCTTTTATTTATGTATATAGTATATCAATTTGGTTTTTAAAACTTTACTGTATGGGGCAGTCCTGCTGGCTCAGGGGTTTAACACTGCCTTAGGCCCAGGGTGTGATCCTGGAGTCCCCTGTAGGGCTCACTGCATGGAGCCTGCTTCTCCCTCTGCCTGCATCTCTGCCTCTCTCTCTCTCTCATGAATAAATAAATAAAATCTTTAAAAAAATTAAACTGGGGATCCCTGGGTGGCGCAGCGGTTTAGCGCCTGCCTTTGGCCCAGGGCGCGATCCTGGAGACCAGGGATCGAATCCCACGTCGGGCTCCCGGTGTATGAGCCTGCTTCTCCCTCTGCCTGTGTCTCTGCCTCTCTCATTCTGTGTGACTATCATAAATAAATAAAAATTAAAAAAAAATAAAAAAATAAAAAAATAAAAAAATTAAACTGTACTGTAAGTTCCTCAATGTTAAACACAGAACTACCCTATTGTCCAGCAACGACACTACTAGATAATGACCCACAGGATGCAAAAATACAGATTCCAAGGGATACACACACCCTGATGTTACAGCCGCACTATCAACAATAGCCAAACCATAGAGAGAGCCCCAATGGCCATCAACTGATGAACGGATAAAGATGTGAAATATAAATATATATATATATGAATATTGCTAGTCATGAAAAAGAATGAAATCTTGCCGTTTGCAACGACATGGATGGAGCTAGGAGGTACTATGCTAAGTGAAATAAGTCAGTCTGTGAAAGACAAATACCAGATGATTTCACTCCTACGTGGAATGTAAGAAAGATAACAGAGGCACATATGGGAAGGGCATAAAGAAAAAAAGAGAAGGAAACAAACCATAGGAGAGTCTTATCGATAAAGAACAAACTGAAGGTTGACTGGAGGGAGGGGAGTGGGGGATGGGCTAGGTGGGTGATGCAGATTGAGGAGGGCCCTTGTAATGAGCACTGGGTGTTGTATGTAAGTGACAAATCCCTGAATTCTACCCCAGAAACCAATATTGCACTGTATGTTAACTACCTAAAATTTATTTATTTTTTTAATTTTTTTTTTACCTAAAATTTAAATTTAAAAAATTGTACTCCAGAATGTTGCAGTTTTAGTACTCACATTTAACTCTCAGGCTAGAATATAGGTTTCTTAAATTCCTGCTCTGCTTTGTGTTCCAATCTGGAATGTCAGCATTGCTAATTAATTTTTGTCCAATCCCACCCATTTCTCTACCTTTAATTAAGTGGTTACAGATGTGACTCTCCCATAGGCAGATCTTTAGGCACAATTCAATACTTAAGGAAGTAAAAGCATAATATAAATATAAGGTATTTGAAATGATGACAGCCTTAATGCGTAATTAATCTAATTGTGTGTGTGTGTGTATGTGTGTGTAAGCCAGTGCTACAATTATTTTAGCATGACCGTGTAGGTTTTGAATGATGCAGTTTAAACTGGTGTTGTTAACACTGGGGAAGTCAGGTTAATCCTCTTAATGTTCGCTGTCAGATTACTGAAATCTCCAAACATTCCATTCAGTTTATAATTAAACAAGGGAACATTTCCTAATACTCTCAGATTTATAAACATGTCTATTATTTTATAGCGTACTTTGACATGTTCTGAAGAGAACTTACAGGTTTTTTTCCCACTTTTTAAGAGTTGCAATGTATTTCTCATACCATACCGTAAAATTCATCCTGAATTTTTTAAAGGCATTCATACAAGTCACTGGTTTTCTGTACATTCTGCAGGTTGTACAATTACCACCACTGTATAACTCCAGAAATTTTGTGCCATTAGCAGTCACTCCATTGCCTCTTGCCTCCAGACCCTGGCAACCACTACCTTTCTTTCTGTCTCTATTGATTTATCTACTCTGGACATTTTGTAGGGTAATACATTAATGTGGATAATACATTAATACAATAATGTGATTTTATATGGATAACACAAGAGTGGCCTTTTGTGGCCTCTTAGCATAACGTTTTTAAGGTTCATTCATGTTACAGGACCCGCCTGTACTCCATTCCTTTTTTATGGCTGAATAATATTTAATTTCATTGCATTGCATGGATATATACCACTGTTGTTTAAACTTTCATCAGTTGATGGACATTTGAGTTATTTCTATTGTTTGACCATTATCAATAATGTTGCTATGAACACGCAGGTGTTTGTGTGGACATACGTTTTCAATTCTCTTGGGTGAATTAGGTTTTTAAATTAAACTTTTTGTTATTTTTAGAGACTAACTTAAGGGAGCCTGGGTAGTTCGGTCGGATAAGCATCTGCCTTCCACTCAGGTCGTGAGCTCAGGGTCCTGGGATTGAGCCCCACATCTGGCTTCCTGCTCAGTGGGGAGTCTGCTTCCCCTCTCCCTCTACCCACCTCCCCCCAGCTTGTGCTCTCTCTCTCAAATAAATTAAAAAAATTTAAAGGGACTAATTTATGCATAAAATATTATTTTTCTTATTCCCACTAAACCTAAACACAAAGGCATGTGTTAGGGTGGAGGGTTAGTTGCCATATTTCATTTGCTTCCCAAATTAATTCACCAACCAGTTTCTGAGGGCTTACCACGTCAACAGTAGTGAACAAAATCCAAAAGTCCCTGTCTTGGCAAAGCTTACATTTCAGTGACTGCTGAATTCATGATAATGAAATAATCAGATTTATTAAGTTAAACTATACGAATTGGTAAGTTTTATAAACATTTTAAACTACAAAATGGCAGTTTCATATGGTTCAATTTAACACTGAGCTAAATTTCTATTGGAATATTGTGTATGGGACTCCTGAGTGGCTCAGAGGTTAGCATCTGCCTTTGGCTCGGGGCATGATCCTGGGGTCCTGGGATCGAGTCCCGCATCAGGCTCCCTGCATGGAGCCTGCTTCTCCCTCTGCCTGTGTCTCTGCCCGCCCTCCTCTCTCTCTGTGTCTCTCATGAATGAATAAATAAAACATTTTTTTTAAAAAAAAAGAAATATTGTGTAGTGTTTTTATTCCATTCAGGTTAACTTCCCAAACAACACTCACTACATTGAAAAATGTAAAGACGTTGTTCTTTTAACTCTTTCCTAACGGTGTGCATATTAGTTAGTAGTTGAAAATGTTCAGAAAGAAAAGCCAGCCTGAAAACTTAAACACATCATTCTTCAATAGCAAGATAAAGTTTGTTGAATGGGGCACGATACCATGCTCAATGTAATCATGACATGCGATCATAAGTTGTGGCAACGTTTTAATTATTTTTGATCAACTATTCCTTCCCAGCAACTCAGTAGT